GTGGACATGCCCTGATTGGGGGGTGGACATGCCCTGACTTGGGGGGTGGACATGTCCTGAATTGGGGGTGGACATGCCCTGACTGGAAGTGGACATGCCCTGACTGGGGGTAGACATGCCCTGACTGGGGGGTGCGCATGCCCTGATTGGGGGGTGGACATGCCCTGACTTGGGGGTGGACATGCACTGACTGGGGGTGGACATGCCCTGACTGGGGGTGGACATGCCCTGACTCGGGGATGTGCATACACTGACTGGGGGTGTGCATGCACTGACTGGGGGTGGACATGCCCTGACTGGGGGTGGACATCCACTGACTGGGGGTGGACATGCCCTGACTGGGGGGTGTGCATGCCCTGACTGGGGGTGGACATGCACTGACTGGGGGTGGACATGCACTGATTGGGGGGTGGACATGCCCTGACTGGGGGGGTGGACATGCCCTGACTGGAGGTGGACATGCCCTTACTGAGGGGTGGACATTCCCTGGCTGGGGGGTGGACATGCCCTGACTGGGGGTGGACATGCCCTGACTGGGGGGTGGACATGCACTGACTGGGGGGTGGGACAGAGGGTCTCTTCTTCCCTCACACGAGTTTCCAATGTGTTGTCCCTATGGCTGGCCTGGAGGCATCTCACTTCTGCAAACCACTGGCCCCTGGCAGCAGCCCTGGCAGCTCCATAGGGCCGTGGTGTGGGTAGCAGTGTGTGAACACCAGGGTGTGCTCATGGAAAGAAATCAGGGAGCCAAGCTTAAGCCCCTTCTTAAACCTCAGCGTTCTGAGTTGCTTGCTGAGCCAAAGCTCTTTCCCTTGGTTAAAATGTCACCTTTTGTAAAGAATCCTTTCTCACAAGATGCTGCTGGAAACCCTCTCGGCTGGTGGTGGTGGCGGTGGCCTGCCTGGTGGTGGTGGTGGTGGCCTGGCTGGTGGAGGGAAGCTGACCCCGTGCCCGCTCTGCTGCCCAGGACATCTGCTCCCGGCTTCTTGAGGCCTCTCTCTTTCTCTTTTAGGAACAGACTGGGTCAGGGGTTAGTGTTTACAGTTACTGTGTATCACGTGTCCACCACATCACGTGGTCCCTTCAATTTTCTCAATGGTCTTTTAGGAAGAGCCAAGGAAGTGGAGGTGGAAAATGCAGTGGTGACGAGTGTAAGGAAAGACGAGGTCCTGCCGGACCCTGAGCACCAGCAGCACAGAGAGGACAGAGGGCAGGACGGTGGTGCCGGACAGGGACTGCATCCCAGCGACCAGAAAGCCTCCGAAGACACAACCCCCTCCCCAGGAGCAGCTGCAAATGGGAACGAGGAGGAGGAGGGCCAGGGTGTGCCAGGGGATGGGACTGGCCTGTCCCCTGAGGCGCCCACGTGCTTGAGGAGTGATCTAGGGGGTGAGAGTCCGGCCCCTGTCATCCAGCAGCACCGTGATAGCACCCTGGGTCTTAGACCCGAAACGGGAGAATCTGCAGAACACCAGCAAGAAGAAAGGCAAAAGGATTTCAAAACCTGCTTGGCAGAGACCAGCACCAAGCCTGATCAGGAGTCTGTTCCTTTGCTCCCAGCAGAGGCTGAGGGGCAGCATGGAGGCCCCACAGAGAGCGTGATAGAGACAAGACTGACGCCTGGCGGAGAGCACATGAGCCCAGTGTCCTCCAGCCCTCCACACCAGGGTGACACAGAGCACAAAGCCGAAACGCACGCCGCACGTGGCCCTGTGGACCCGAGCACGGCATGTGGCCCAGAGAAGGAGCTGGCTGGCCAGGAAGGAGCTGGCCTCCAGGAGGCCCCCACTCAGCATGCAGAAGTGGACAGGGAGAAGGAGGGGGAAGGTGAAGTGGAACCGGTGGGTGACGAGCTCAGCCAGACTGAAGCCGAGATGCTTCCCTGTCCTGTGGCCGAGGTCAAGCGGCAAAATCAAATGGGTGTCGAAAACGAACCCCTGGATCTGAAAGAACCTGATGAGGAGAAGAGCCAACAGGAAGAGGCCTTGGACTCCCCACAGAAGAAGACCAAGAACAAGAAAAAGAAAAACAAAAAAAAAAAGCCGCCAGTCCCCGCAGAGACCCTTAGAGATGACAAGGGGCAGTCAGCATCTCAGAACGCAGACCTCGGAGACGTGAAGGCGCGAGAGCAGGTCCAGGTCACTGACCGGGAGGCCACAGGAGGCCCGAGCCAGGTACCTGAAGAGGCAGCACAGGGGGCTGTGGGGAGCAGTGAAGGCCTGGCAGGACCTCCTGCAGAGTCGGATGGAAATCGGAACCCAGACGAGGACGATGTGGAGAAAAACGACGGGAAAGGGCTCGCCAATGGAGACGTGATGGCCTTCGAGGGTGATGCAGTTCCATCTTTGGGCGTGAGCGCAAGTGATAAGGAACCAGAGGAAAGTGTTGTGAGTGGTGCACTTGGAAGAGAGGGGGATGCTCCGAGCAGTGCCCAAGAGCTAGAGGATGAGGTGTCCAGCAGATCCTCCGAAGAGTTTACTGACGCCCCCCAAACAGAAAGCCCCGAGAGGTCTGGGATGTCAGCACAGCCAGATCGGGACCTCAGCCTAGGAAAGCCCGACTCACCCACACCCGCAGGAGAGCTGGGGGACTTGCTGGAATCCCGCCACGAAGGAGACTCGAGAGCTGGGAATGAGAAGGCCAGAAGCAAAGAGGACTGCACCATGTCCTGAGATGAGCCAGGCGGGAGAGCTGCTCGGCAGGGACCCCAGGCTTTGCACAGTGAGTGGCCTGTCGGGAGGCTGTTGTGACCTCCTCCGGCTATCACACTCTCCTTGCTGTGGGTGCTCTGGGTGACAGGCAACCCCCGGCCTCTCTTACCCCTTCACTGGACGCTGTTCCCTTTAGATTTAAGTCGAGCAACATGGTGAGCACTTTGTGGTTGGAAAGATGAGTCCACTCCGGCA